CCGGGGAATGTGTTTAGGGTCCAAATGCTGCCGGAACCAAGGAAGATTTTTCTCCCTCACACCTGAGCTTATTAGAGCATTTTTAGCTCCTCGTTTCATTTTGTTGTATCGCAAATCAGCGAGCTGGACAAGACGCCTAATGAGCCAATTAGTTTAGGAGTCATTTATTGAGCGCAGCCCAGAGGGTGTTGTCTCTTTCCAAATCTCTGAGCAACCCATACAGGACGTTTTTTTGTATTTATACTTTTCAAGCCTCTTTGTTTGCAGATACAAAGGGCTGCTCTGTGTGAGTCATTGTTACAGACAGTTGTAACCTTGAATACATAATGAGTTGGTACTTGGCATAATTATTATCAGTATTAGTCTATTACATTGGATGGCTGGCTTGCAAGGTCAGACAGTTAAGTTTATCTTATTCTATTATTTGAACTAAAAACAATGTCATTTTATAGAATAACAGACTGTCTTAAAGTGACAGAGTTTACAGGACTAGGGACTATCTAACAATAGCAGAGAGTTTCAAACAGCAGTTTTCTATACAAGATGGACGTTACTATGCTTCATTTCCCACTGGTTTTATGTAAATGAGTCAAATCATTGACTCTTGGGGGTTGTTAACATTGTTAACCTATTCAGTTTTGAGGTTTCCTTTACTAAGTCCTATAGAGAGAATTAATAATACGGCACATGTGAAAGTTTTATCTTCTGAGAATCCTTCTTCCTTTGCTGTCTTAAGCCGCATTGGGATCCCGTCGACCTTGACTGCAGTGGGGGTGGTCAGGATGATGGTATGCGGTCCCCTTTAGGTGGGAGTCAGTCCTTGGGTAGTAAATTTCTTTACCCAAACAGAGTCAACAGGGTGAAAGGGATGGACCGGATAAGAAGTTGGCACAGGCAGAGTGTCTCAGACCTGCTTCTGGATTGCTTTCCGGGTAGACTGTAAAGCCTGTAAGAACTTGACCAAAGATTGGTTATGGATTTCAGCTTTTCTAGATTGGGTTTCCGTGTAAGCTGGTGAGGTGGGTAGGTCAGGGTCTGGAAGAGTCACTAAAATCTGTAGAGGCCCCACTGGTTTTAGGGCAGCATCCCGGGCTGCTTCATCTGCAGCCTAGTTCCCTCTTGCTTCTGGGGAGTCCCCTTGTCTTACATACGTAGAGGTGGAAAGACTTAGTTACATCTGGTAGTGCAAGTTGGCCCATCGTCCGTGCTCTGTTCATGTCTGTCTAACTGCTTACTATATATTACCTCAAGAATCCTGGCTCTGAACTTCCTTAGGGAAAATGGACGTTGGTGTGGTCCTCTGACTGCTTCTGTGCTGAGAAGGGATGGAGTTTTCTTTCAGAGCCAAGAGATCCTTGCTGTCTGTCAGAGGGATGATAAGGCTTGGGCACAGAAGGAGGTGGGCTTGTGACCTCGTGGAGACAAACGGTCATATAAAATTTAGTATTATTGAGCAATTAGAACAGCAAGAGTTATAACAAATGGTCTGGTGCAAGGGAAAGAAAACATTTCAGTTTTAATAACCTCTATTGAAATAGAATTTTTTTCCTCAAAATTACCTCTATGTTTATCAAAAGAGCTAAATCAAGACCAATTTATCTATTGTATCAAAAGAGCTAAATCAAGACCAATTTATCTATTGTATTCAATTTGGCCTGATCGTTTACATAATCACAATAAGAATGGTAACTGACTATCTTTGCCGGAATTTCATGATTGAATCTTAATGTGCCCCTTGGCCCAGGAAGCCAAGCCATCCAGCTGCGGTCAGGCCTGCCTGCAGTATCTCCTGAGTTAGGTGAATCCCTCACCTGCAGCGATTCCACCTGGGCCCACGCCCTAGGCTTCAAGGCCTATCTCAGCAGCCCTCCTACTCCTTGCGGCCCAGAGTGCGTGGGGGTTCCTCAGGGACGCAGAGGCGCCCTCATTGCCCCCCTTCTACTCTGACCAACCGCCAGCGATGGTAGGGTATGGGGCTGATGCTCCAGCATCAGCTATTTTCAGGGCTTCCAAGCAGGATACCAGGCTTTCTTCGTGGCACTCTTATTGGTTTCAAGTCTTCAGAGCTCAGACAGGGCTTTTTAAAACATGATACTCCAGTCAAAGTTTTTGGTCAATAAAACCACTATTGGAAACCAGTCTTATTGAATTTATGCAAAGAAATGTATTGCCATGATTTATTAAGCATTGCTAAATTTCGGAGGAATTATATAAGGAGAAAAATATACTGACCTGCTTTAAGGTCTTTTGATTTTTCTTGCCAGTCCTTTTTATGGATTCTTCAGAGTAATATTTTTCTAAATGTATTATTACAAAACAGTAACTGTCTTCAAATGGCAAGAAGAAATTTACAATGTGCCTATATTCAAATAAATAGTCACCGCTGTCCCTGTAGTAGGGTTCCCCCTACTTGACTTGTCCTTAAACTACATATGGTTTCTGGGAGGGGTGACACTCCCTCTCAGAACGGACTAAGGGAGCTTTATTCCTTTACAGGGTCTCACATGTCACAGGACCTCACAGCGTCTGTAATTCCTGTAACAGAGGGCTGGTACTCACCACTTCACTACTTGCCTCTGTTCCAAACAGGCCTCCCCCAGTTTCCTAAGGTTGAGGTTTGTGCCATTCCTGGCATAGGCATGGTCACACAGGCCTGCAAGGCAGTATACAGGCTGCTAACTGTCTCTCAATAGAGAACCAAAACCTGATGGGTATTTTACTTTACCCATTCGGGCACCTGCCCTTTTGGCAACTGCATTCAAGTCTGTAAGAGAATTACAGGTAATTAGCATATTAACAGAATGAGGTACAATATGGGCACTGTGGCTACTTCAGGCAGCCAAATTTTCTGCCACCAAACATGACACATGGTAGGACTATACAAACATCTCAGGGAGGGGATTCAAGTCTTTTTTTTTTTAGGTCAGAAACTATTTATTGCTTGGTTAGTTGTTGGGGTCCAGCCCCAACAGGTCCAGGGGTTCCCCAAGGTGTGGACGGAGGCGGCGAGGAAGGCCTTTTTTTTTTTTTTTACCTTCCTCCACAAAGCAAAATTGTCCTTGTCTCTCTGGAGTTATGTCCAAGAAGACGCAGGCATAATCTAAATCTATTATACAGTTTTCTGTAGGCTACTGTCAGAGCTGTGCGTGGTGGCCAGTTCTTCTTTCTAGCCACAAATACAGTCTGTCCAATTTCCCTAAATGTATTCTGGCACGGGAGAAAGTTGTTTTGCTGTACACAGGCAGCTTAACCCCTATACAACTGGGCTTGGACCTCTGCCTAACAAACTGCAGTCTATAAATTCAATATGCAGCCTCCGGTCCTTCTAACCTAACGGGGTCATGGCCAGTCCCTCAGTCAGACTCCCACTCTCTGGGAGAGTCTGAAAGTCCTGAAGGCTCCCGGGTCCAGGGAGAGCGCCTTTCCTTTGCCCTTTTTGTTAACCCTGTTTACTAGTTACAGGGCCCTGCTATCCTTGTCTCTCATCACTGCTTGATTCCTAGTGGCGAGCCAAACACAGCCAGGGCTGCAGGGAGAGACAGTTTGCACAAGGCAAAGCGCTCCTGTAGTGGTGGCTTGGGCTTCAGGCCCTTGCCTGCCCACTTGTCCTCTTTCCTGGCAGAGACTGCGGCCTTGATCTAGTACAACTCAGATAAGTGAGAAACCAAGGATGCCGGCAGAGCAGCTTGCAGCCAGCAAAATCAACAAAAACCTATGTCTCCCTGCTCTTCCCGCTGAGGCACACACACCCCCAACCATTTACTCTGTAAGGAAGAACAGGGCATCTGCCTCCCCCCCCACCCCACCCCATCCCCTAACCGGGTGTCTTGGCTCACCCCTTAGTCTAAGGGGTGAAATCTTTTAGCTTGTCTGGGAGAGTTTAAGGCACTGGAAGGGGACATCAGCCCCTCCTCTTCCAGCAGCAACAGGTACTGAACCCTTTCAGTACATTTGCAAGTGGGAAACTTTACCAGCTTTATCCACGGTTACTTTCACAGATCCCAGGGCCCGTTGCTTGTCTCCCTTTCCTATTGTGAGTTAGAGGAAGACAATTCCTATAGAGGGAAGAAATAAAAACAGCGGGAGTTTTGGAGAAAACCACAGGCCATCACTGTA